AAAAACGTGCCAGGATACCTGCGTAGAATAGTAGCTAGCTACTTCACGGATAGAGTCCTGAGATATGACTCAAAGGACGGTCCGAAAGAGTACGAAATCACCGGAGGTGTTCCGCAGGGCTCTGTTCTTGGCTCACTGCTGTGGAATATCATGTATGACGGGTTCCTAAGGCTAAAGATCCAGAGGAATGTTGAACTTGTAGCGTATGCGGACGACGTGGCTGTAGTGATTGTCGCGAAACACCTGGACGAGTTTCACCACATGTTTGATCTAGCATTCCAGCAAGTTAACCAGTGGATGGACGCAATGAATCTTCAACTGGCGAAACATAAGACTGAGGCAGTGCTTATTGCCAGCAGAAAAACGTTAGAGACCATCAAGCTTAAAGTCGGAGAACAAGAAATCGCATCACACCTTATATCCGATATTTGGGAGTGATGCTTGATGCCCGTCTCAACTTTAAACAGCAAATGGAACACGTCAGTGCCAAAGCGTCAGTAGTAAGGGCAAGTCTCGCACGATTGATGCCTAACGTCGGAGGGCCAAAGCAGAGTAGGAGACTATTGTTGGCAACTGTAGTCACATCAGTGCTTACGTACGGAATATCCATTTGGGCTGATGCGCTAGAATTACAAGAAGCATGGAGAAAGGCTGGACCAGTATATCGTCTGAGTGCCCTAAGAGTAGCTTGCGCCTTCCGCACAATATCTGAGGAAGTAGTGTGCGTCATTTCTGGAACTCTACCTCTCAGAGTCCTAGCTGAAGAAAGACGGAACCTTTACCAACGAAAGAGGTCAACAACACTGAGCGCAGAACTCAGAACGGAACAAAGACAGCACAGCATCGCACGATGGCAATCTCAGTGGGATGCCGCAGAGAAAGGTAGATGGACGCATCGTCTCATACCAAAGATCGACATTTGGCTGAACCGGAATCACGGTGAGGTCAACTACTACCTAACACAGATGTTGTCAGGACATGGCTGCTTTCGGGCTTATCTTCACCGCTTTAGGCATGACGAGTGCCCGTCCTGCCCTGGAGCCACTGAAGATGCAGAGCACGTTTTTTTCGAGTGCTCGCGTTTCAATCAACAACGTGAGGAGCTGGAGAAGATCCTGAAGAAGACAATTCAACCAGAGTCAATCGTAGAAGCAATGCTGTCTTCAGAAGCTGCCTGGAATGCAACGAACACTTTTGCCACAGAAGTGCTTACCGAGCTGCGTTCCATCGAGAGAAAAAGAGCAAAAGACAGAACCTAGAAGGAAGAAAACATCTTAGCCACCAGAAGGAAGAGCGGCAGCTAATTCCTCCCCCCGCGAAGAAATGCCTTACGGCGGTACCATGGGGGATCAGAGGATAGAAGAGAAAGGGGTTTAGGGTTTAGTGGGTAGGGGCGTCAGCGTCAAGTTTTAGTATGACGCTGCGTCGAGTCGCCACATATCCAGGCTAAACATCTATGCCTAGAATCCGTAAAAAGGATTCCCCCCCGATCAATTTTTAAACATCTTCAGCTCTTTCTCTGAAAAAATACGTAGAATGTCGCAAACCACGTCAAAACGGTTAATCCATTCGGAGGACATCGTAAACGAAAAATTTGTAAATAAGTGTTTTTTTCGCATGACTTCTAAATTTCTTTTCGGATCGTTTTTGAACTCTAATGGTGTTTTTATATTTTAACGCAAAAAATTTTTTCCAAATCTTACCTCAATATTTTTATTCATAATCTCATGAAAAATTCTTAAAAGCAGCGTTTTTTTTTTTTATTTTTACAAATGCCCAAAGTAGAGTACTGCCTTCATTCTAGGATTTACAAGATCAACTATTTTTTTAATTCTAGCTAGTTTTTTAGAGAAAGAGAACGGATTAGATTTTAAAACCAGCCTATCAAATATTTAAGCGGTTTTTTTTCAAACCTACACAACTGATTTAGTTAAAATCTTCAGAATACCCAAGTTTCATAGAAACCTTTCACAAGTGTGCAGACATCTTTTTAGAAACGTCGAAATCAAATGAAAACTTGTTTTACGAAAATCGGTCTGAAAATAATCAACTAAGTTCCCCAACTTTTATTCAATATTCATCGCAGAAAGTTGAGTAAAAAAATTGCTTTTCTACGATATGAATCACTAATGACAACAATTATACCAACATTCGTAGGATATAAGAATGGTTGATATGAAAGTTACTTGCTTTCATCTGGAAAATGGTTTAAATGTATTTACTGCATCGGCTGTTCTAGTATCGTTATAAAGAAACGAGGTGAGAGTGGAAGAGGTCGTGCGAAAAACTTCTGGCCTTATCCCTTCCTTTCTTACTTGACCTAGTGAGTTATTATTATCTTACTATCACAATGGGTTTTTCCTGTATCTTTTAATTTTATAGTTATGATTAGTTGATAATCTACATATCAGGACATTAACATAACGATTGGTAATATTATAAGATCATAATATTATTAAACTTGATTAAATGATGAAAATTGTTCCCAAACCAGTTCTCTAGATATTCGAAACTATACTCAGTTAGCATGACGGAATTATGGTACGGTCTCATGGAGAAAGCTATTGCTGAATTATTTACTAGATTCATACTCTCAATATGTATAATAACTTTATTAAAAATAATGTTGTCGGACGATTTCATTACCACCTTCTCACACTTTTTTTTTTCATTTTTTAGCATTAAATTACAAATACTATTATGATTTTTTTTTAGATGTACCGTAGTTTTGTTCAACCCTCGAAAAAATCTCCAGACGCATGTGTTAAATAGTTGCAAAAAAACTGTTACCTCACTGGCACTTGCTGGAGATGGTCGTCTTTTAGTCACTGGTGAATGCGGACATATGCCCAATGTACGAGTATGGGATATTTCTGATCGTCAAAACGCCATTCAGATTGCCGAGTTTTCCAGTCATAAATATGGAATTAATTGTGTTGTAAGTACTTTTTCATTCGAATACTATTAGATTTTTTGTTTTACCTTTTTTCACTTATAAATAAAATTGCTTATAAATAAAATTGCTTTTTCACTAATAAATAAAATTGCTTAAGAATCGTTAATTAGTAGAGTAATTTCAACCATGATTAAATTTTGTAAAAGTTTTCCAATTAAATAACAAAAAATCGAATTGCATTTAAATAATTAAAAAAAAAAAAAATTACGATATTTGTTTTTTATTAGAATAAATTTATCACGTATTAATATTTATGTTTCAGGCGTTTTCACCAAGCAACAAATATGTTGTTTCTATTGGATCGCAGCATGATATGATAGTGAATGTCTGGGACTGGCGGAACAATGTAAAAGTAGCATCTAACAAAGTATCTAGCAAGGTGAAGGCCGTATCATTTGCTGAAAACGGGAGCTATTTTGTAACTGTTGGTAATCGACATGTTAAATTTTGGTATCTTGAATATACTCGAAACGCTAAGTATAAAGAACCAGTACCTCTTATGGGCCGATCCGCTATACTAGGTGAACAACGAAATAATGACTTTGTGGATGTAACATGCGGCCGCGGAGAGACGGCAGATTCTACTTACGCCATTACAAAAACTGGATTACTCTGTGAATTTAATAATCGGCGGCTCCTTGATAAGTGGGTCGAATTAAGAACAACCAGTGCAAATTGTATGGCCATAGGTGAAAAATTAATTTTTGTTGGATGTGCCGAAGGAATTATTAGATGCTTTAGTCCAGTAACACTTCAATTTATTACAACATTACCAAGAACTCACTATTTAGGGGTAGATGTAGCTTGTGGATTATCTATAAGCCATATGTCTCAGCATCCAGTAAATGCTAGATATCCAGATGCAATTGCTTTAGCTTTTGATGAATTAAATAACAAACTTACGTGCGTTTATAATGATCATAGCATTTATATTTGGGATATTCGAGATATCAAGCGTGTGGGAAAATCTCACTCTTTTCTCTTTCATTCAGCATGTATATGGGGCGTTGAAATGTATCCAACAAATAGTGAATTAATAAGTAACATGCCTTCAGATAGTTTTGTGACATGTTCAAGCGACGATACAATAAGAGTATGGAATTTAAAAAATGATTTTTCAACAAATCAAAAAGTTTATAGTCGTAATATTTATAGCAATGAATTATTAAAAGTGTTATACATTGATCCTGAATTGACATACTTAAAAGATTTAGATTTAGCTACCGCAGGATCAACAGATAAAAGTGATACCTCATATGATGGTCGTAATGGTGTTAGATCAATCAGAATAAGTCCAGATGGTGCGCATATTGCCTCTGGAGATCGATCAGGTAATATTAGAATTCATGATGTAGCTACGTTAGATGAATTATGTCTTATAGAAGCTCATGATGCTGAAGTACTTTGCCTTGAATACTCAAAATATTCTCGAATTACCGATGGACCAAAATTACTAGCAAGTGCTTCAAGAGATCGATTAATACATGTTTTTAATGTTGATGAGGGTTACAATTTTCTCCAAACACTTGATGATCACAGTTCTTCAATTACGGCTGTTAGATTTTTCACAACGACTCAAAATGATAACATTCAAATGGTATCATGTGGCGCCGATAAAAGCATTATTTTTAGACAGTTGCAAATGACTCCAGGAAATCCACCACAATTTGTAAGAGATCACAATGCTCAAGGAAAAACCACGTTGTATGATATGGAAGTAGACTCTGGTCAAAAGCATGTTTTAACAGCTTGTCAGGATCGTAATATTCGAGTATACAATGTAGCCACTGGTAAACACAGCAAAACGTTCAAAGGTTCTATTGGTGAAGACGGGTCTTTAATAAAAGTTGTTTTGGATGCGTCAGGAATATATGTTGCTACTTCATGTACAGACAAAACTTTATGTGTCTATGATTACTACAGTGGTGAATGTATGGCAACAATGTTAGGTCATTCAGAACTAGTTACAGGCCTCCGTTTTAGTCCAGATTGCCGTCACTTAGTATCAGCCAGCGGCGATGGTTGTATATTTGTTTGGAGTATACCTCATGATATGGTAGTTACTATGCAAGCACGATTAACTCAACAGGCGATGCGTGCGGGTAAAAAACCCCAAAATTTACAAAATGGACTAATAACACAGCTAGAAAATGAATCTTTTGGTCCACCATCGCCAGAATTTTTCGGTTCAAATGTCAATTCAACTATACAAACTACTGCTATTGACTATCGTTTCAGTGTTGGTCAATTACCTCATTGGGCTAAAAAACAAATCAATACGGATACTAATACTGAAGAAAATATAACTTCAAGTGTCAGATCGGTTAGTGTAGATATGCCGAAAGGCCGATGGGCTCAACGTGTACAACAGACTGATGGAATTACTGTAAAATCAGTCTATGATAGTGATGAAATTATTCATTTTCCTCCTTCGAGAAGTACCATTGACTCTGAATGTGGAGGTGGTGGTACTGGAGGATCTAAAGATAGTTCTATTGACAGTGGAACTGAAACTAAATGCAGCAGTGATTATAGACGTGAACCCATTGCTATAAAAAAAGTAAGTTATTTTCATGTATTTACGAAATAATTAAGAACCAATTTTACATATAGTAACATTAACAAGTTTCGAAGACTAAAAAAAGTATGTTTTATCTCATTTTCTTCTCATATAATAAATAAAGTATTTTATTTAAACTTTTTAACATATCAAACATAAATTTTTGATACATCAAACATAAAAATGTTGACAGATAGTTTATGAAATTTTTTTGTATAAAATTTAATAAATTCAGCCATTGAGACGTCGTTTCTTGAAAAATATATCTAACCAATCTCCTTCAAATTTTAATACTCAAACAACAAATGAGTTAATCATGGTTATGCCTCAAAATCAAAACCGAAATTGAGCTGGTTAATTACCAAGAAAAAAAAAAAAGTTATTGTTTTTATAAGTATAGATAATACTTCAGAATATTATAAACATATTATACACTCGGATCGGTGGTATATTGTTGATTAATATTGTTGATATTTACAAAATTAAACAAGAACACAAACAATTAAATTACATAATAAGCTTATAAAAAATACATAGTCAAAAAACGTTAATTTCTTATGATACGTAAATGCTACAAATAAACCAGCATAATAATATTTATTTACATTTTTCAGGAAGAAGAAGAAGAAGAAGAAGAAAATGTATTTGCACCGTGCCCTGATAGTTACAGAGAATTAGCGGAGGATTTGAAAAAACAGGTACTAACCAATTATTATGAACAACGCATTGAAACGCAACTAATAAATCTTCACATTATATAATATATTCATATTTTTAATTATCTTTTACTTACATTTTTTCATTATTTATCTTTTTTCATTCTTTTAATTCATTTTTCTCTTATAAAACATTTGTTTCTCCTTTATTGTACAAACGCGGACATTATAGATGACAAGTGGCAACATAACAATAACTAGAGGTAGCAATATCACAGAGTTAACTCATCAATCGAGAATACGATCTTACACCGATGACAGCAGTCTTAGCAGTTTTAAATTAGAGGTATTTGTTAATGGTCGTCATAACAAATGTCAATTCATGTTTTCTTATGTTAAATTTTCTTTATCATTTCTACCTTCTTAAATATTGCATTAATTTTATTTCATTATTATTAAATAAGATAAATAAGATAAACATTTTTTGATAATAGTAAAAATAATTTATCTTATTTAGGATCACGAGAGTACAGAACATGATGGTGATGTTGAAGATTATTCTGAAGGCGAAAATGGAACAGCTAGTTCGGAAAAATCACATAATTTAATGTACTATCCACCAACTGAAGATACTATATCAAATCAGTTCAAAGTAAATGCCATGGATATAGAAGAACTCCGAAGATCTATGAGACGAGGAAAAAAAATAAAAATTGGAGATAGCAATATCAGTGAATTGACCACAGCATCCGGAAGTCAAGATGATTCTGATTCTGAAGGAGGTGCATCAACGCCAAGTGCTGAACGTAATCCATTGTCTATTTTATCTGAAGCGAGTTCTGAAGGATATGATCAGGTTTTCAATCAAACTCATCGAGAAAAGTATCTTAAAAATGCTTTTGAATCTCTAAGTGGTGCTGATGAACTCACAAATAGAAAAAATACCAGTATTAGCTCTCAATTTCATGGAAGGTAAAATTATTAAATTTGGTTTATCATTTATACAACTTTATTTTTTCATTACTTTAATTTGTACTTTTTTTATCTATATTCTATGTTAAGAATAAGCGGAGGAGAAAATCAAGAAAGTAAAACACACCAAACACCAGTTATAAATTTAATTACACCAAAAAATACAAAACTTAGTACAGATGTAACGAAAAATCGTGAAGAATTACAGCGGCGAATAGAAGAAACGAGAAGAAAATTACAAAGTGTAAAGTTTTTTTTTTAGTTATTTTTAGAAAATAATTTATTTAATTAAGCTTTAATAAAAATTTTTTTACGTATAGGTTGGCTATAAATCTTCTTTAAAGTCAAGCCAAAGTATCTCAGATCTCAGCAGCCATATACCAGATCGCCATCATCGGCAAAGTAAGATTAGTTCAGGTAATAATAAACGTCCACAATCACAATACTATACAATACCAACTAACCTAAGTAAACCATTACTAAATTTAAAATCTCATTTAAAACCTCATACTATTACTAACAATGTTTCTGGTTATGGAAATGCTTTTTTAAAAGATCAAATTGACAAAAAACGCTTTCCTAAAAGTCAAACTACTTTTTGTATAAGTAAACAGGCCAAATTGACCGTAAGTCGGCCATTATCATTAGCACTAAATAAAACTGATAAAATGAAATTATCTGTCGATAAAACAAACAAATCATTACCAGAATCACCTGTTTGTGAAGAATTAAAAGCAATTAAAAAATCATGTAAAGCAGAACTAAACAAGTTTACCAAGTTTGCTCAAAAACAGAGATCTTGTAGTTATTTTATTGGCTTGAATGATAATTTTGAAGATATTGATTGCTTAGCTAAATCATTTGAAAGTTTACCAGCTATGAAAGAGCCACTATCAGATAATGATGATGATGATGATAATGACATTAATGACAATGGTAATTTCAGTGACGATTCTTTAGAAAGTGATTATAAAAATCCACCTCGTAGATGTGTTAGTGAATATCAAATAAATATAAATAGAGAATCAAATAATAAAAATAAAAACTATTTGAAGTGTTTAAAAAAGAATCTTGGTGATTCACAAGAAAGTATTCTGTCTGATGCGTCTGGAGAAATATTTGATTGCCAGTATGATAACGATAGACATTCTAGTGCTAGCTTTTTTTTATCACGGCGAAAAATGCAAGCCACTCAAAGTCAAGAGAGTGTATTAACTGATGTAACAGATGACTATCAAATTTCTTTATTGCGAGAAAATGAAGTTAATAGAAGTACTGAAAGTATTCTCACTGATGATTCTGACTCATTAGTTAAGTCTGCACCATTAGAAATTCTTTTTGAGTCTCATTATAAAAGAAAAAGACATAACTCTGAAAATAAAATAGAAAATATTGAATTTGACAAACCAATAAATACTGTTACACCTACTAAAGCTGTTTTTCGATCTAAATCTTTACAAGATACAAGACTCAGTGCCGTTAAATCAGCTATTAGTTACACGGAAGAAAATTTCAGACCCAATCAAACTTGTATTTATTATGAATTTAACATCGATAATACAAAAGAGTATTGTTCAAAAGTTCGTAATTCATCAAGATTTGATATGACAAGAAGTAATAGTTTAAAAGAGCCCCATTCAATGTTAATTTTTGATAATTTTGTACCCCATAAACCACCAAAACCAAAAAGAAATTTTCCTCGCACTCAAAGCATGCGAAATCGTTCTAGACCTTCTTGGAATAAATATAATTTTGAAAATCCACTGTCTCAAAGTTTAAATTCAAATAGTAAAACTACTTGTTTCGACAATGATAATGTAGAGTCAAAAAATAGTAAAAAAATTAGTTCAAAGACAAATGATTTAAAATTAGAAGAAAATACTTCGTTAATTCTTCTCTCACCAACAAACCAAATTTCGAATCAAAATTTGTTCAAAAATGCCGAGTCAAAAAATCGTACTGAAATTGAAAAAAATTTATCAAGCTACTCCAATGAAGCTAACAAAAATAATAATAATAATAATAATAATAATAATAATAATAATCAAACAACTAAAATAACAAAAACTTCTTGGCATGACGAGTTAGATGTTGATAGCGGTTTTGAAAATCATATTCCTACAAAAGATACATTCGAAACTTATGACTCATTGGAACCTTATGGAACATCTTCTTGTGAAGCATCAACTTCAGATTCTCAAATTCAGGATACGAATGTCGAAATAGAAAAAAATTATAACAATAGCACTGCTGACAGAATTAGTCGAGCAATTGAAGGAACTGTAAAACTTTTATCTAAAGAATTTGAAAACTTAGTTAAAAGAGAGCAACAGAATTTAATTAAAAATAAACAAGTTTGGCAGGTACATCAGTCAAATTCAGCTGAAAATTTTTCAAAGTTTGAATCAGAAAGAGACAAGGGCTCAACTTTTAAAAAAGACACTCGACCGAGTTCAGGGTGTGAGGACAGTGATTGCACTGTAGATAAATCTTTAATGGAAAGTGGTTCCTCAACTCCTGGATCAAGTTGTACTAATTCACCAAAACGAATTTGGCCACCTGCGTCTCGATGTCAATTGAAGTGGATCAAAGCACTACCAACAATCAATCAAGATATTTTACCATCTAAGCAACACTTATCAGGTATCTCAATGATTATGAGAAACCAGTCAATATCATCTAAGTGTTTGTATAAATTTAGTAATAATAGCACATCGAAGCTTACTGTAGTCATGATGAATGTAATGAAATTACTACATATTTTTTTAATTAATTTTATCTATCGTATCATAAACACAAGCAAAAAATTATTTTGTCATGAAGTAAAATTTATTTTATTATAATTTTTAATCATATGACAGAAATTTTATTTTCAGTTGAATCATTATTGGAATGTATATATCATTATAGCATGATGTTCATACGTATGGTCGCTTTTAATGAAACGAAAAACGTATTCCGATTATTAAAATTTGAAAGTTATCATAAATAACTCCTTTTTTTTTTTAAGTTTTATTTATTATTCGTTCATTAATTAATCATTCATTTTACTAAACTTTTGTATATAAGTAGAAATTAGTGCATGCGTTTATTGCGTGTTTTCAACAGTTGAAACAGATGGCAGGCTTTCGTCGAAAATTTCTGATTCTAAAGATGATATAGAAGACAAAGGTATGCGACGTGCTTGTTCCTTGAGTGATCTCTCCGTCAGTCCACCAAACAGGTTACTGCATGGTCCAATACAAGGTATCTTTCTTCAGCTTGCTTAAAATTCATTATAACGAATCTTATAGTTTTCTTTTGGCTTTAACAAAAATCATATGTATTATATTTTGTTCATCAAATAATTAATTTTTTTTTATTAAAAAAATGTTTATTATTAACAAAATTAATATTAGTTTCAGGTAAACTAAGCATTAAAAATTCAAATGTATCATCAAGAAACGGAAATAGTGTTAATATAAACAGTGGATTATCATCAAGATATAATTCAAGCAAATGTCACTCAACATACATGACTCGAAGTAGCAGCGTAGGCGTTTTGAATCAGGTATTGCTTTATTCTTTATCATTTTTTTTATTATTAATATATAATATATATTCGTTTATTTGTATTAATTCATTATTTTATTTTAATAGCACAGTGATTCAGAATCAGATGCTGGAGTAATTTCAAGCAGTAGAAATTTGACAAATCCAACTACTAACAATCGAATAAGTGGATTAATGAGGCCTACAATAAGTTCACAAAATAAAGTAAATCATCAATCGAAACCGAGTTCTTCTTCAAGTAGCAATTTACCTATGGTACTGAGAAGACGTGGAATGCAATCTGCTTATTCAAGTGGTATTTACTTTACATAATATTTAATCAATAATATTTTACGTAGATTTGCAAAAGTTATATACAAATAATACAAAAACATTATTTATAAGTGTATGAAACTTTTTTTCTTTAAGTCAATCTAAGTCAAGTTAGTAATCAAGAAGATTCTAGTTCAGAGGATACTTCTTCAAATGGTAATGGCGGAAAACCATCATTACCACCCAGACCTCGAAGTATTAACATTGATCTTTCAGCAAAGTAAATATTAAATGCTTTGAATGTTATAAAATTGTATTTATTAATTAATAATTCATAATAATTTTTTTAAATAGCTTCAATTCTAGTGGATCACTAATAAAACGATCAGGATCAAGTACATCAATATCAAACAGTCGGCTGATGAATGATGCAAGTGGTCAAAGCAATATAAGGCTATCTAGTCGAAATCAATTGGATTTAAATCTACAAAAACTTCCAACTAAAGATATAAATGTAGCTAATGCTGAATGTAAGTAAAATTCTGTATTTCGAGTATGTTATTTACGTACATTAAATCATAAATATTCATTTAATCAACTTTTTCTATCTATTAATGCTTTCAGTAAATACAGATAGAAAATTAGGTAACCTATTATGAATTTCATTTTATAAAATCTTCTGAGTATTATTTCGAAAATTTCTGTAATCATACTGCAGTGATAATTTTAAACCATTATCATTTATTTTCAACAATTGATTAAAGTCGGTTTTATACTTGATCTATATTTTTATTAAAACCTTTTTAATAACTTTGATGGATATAGTTGAATAGCAAATTCCTGAAATAAATCTATTCAAATGATTACAAAAATATTTGATAAAACACGAGTAATACCATAAATATATGATAGTATGCAATTCGCTCGGTGTAGAAAGAGTTGAAACAAGACAATTTTAGATCAGAAAGAGTATTAATTTCTTAAGCGAAGGCTGATATCACCCATAGTTTAAAACTTTTGTTTTTTCTCGTGCTACACACTATATTTATCACACCACTTGTAGCGCATGTTTTAACTGTCAATTACTTAATTAGCTTTTTTTTAACCCCACAGTAAAAAAATTTATTTATTGATCAAAATAGCAAACAAAAAGATAAAACTGATTCTGCACTAGTAATAAAAAAATAACAACATATATATTCATTCTTCATGATTTTAATGTCCAGTATCACTGAAAAAAAAGTTTTCTACGCTTTAGGATACAGTATCGCTACTGTCACCATACGCACGTTACGAAACACTGGATCGCTATGGTCACTATCCGTTTTGCTAATTTAGCGATCTATTGAATACACCTAGCGGTGACGGAGAAACTGACTTTGCATAATTTATTATTGATGTTTCAAATAATGATTTATATGATCGAAGCCAAGTTTTAAATATTTTATCCAGTAATAATAATTATGACAATAATCACCATGCACTTAATAATTGTCGATAAACAATGACAAATGAGTTTAGAAACTTACGCCGAAGAACAGGCGCTTCGAGGTTAGATCGCGACCGTCAGGATCCGTTCCATGATTATAGCGATATGCCGTTCACGATACAACGGATAGAGAAGCGTAGAAAACTTTTTTTTCAATAGTCAAATAAAAATCGGAGATTGCAAATATTCCAAATATTTAAATATCTAGTATCATGTTTGATGCATGAACAATAAAATTGTTATACTAAACTAAAATTTGACTTGAACTGAAATAATTTATCATTTACAGTGTCTCCGCAATTATGTAATACAATCGCTGATGAATTGACAAGAACTGCAGATAATGTGGTTCAGCTATATAAGCGATTAACGATGGATAGTTCTGCAAATCCAGAGCTTGAGCCTATTGATAGAGATACAATGCTTCGAGGTTTAGAATCATCAGTTAATGAAGCAATGCGAACACTTCGTCTTGTCGCAGCTAGTACAACTAACAAAGAAAGTACTGGTAATAATTCTTTAGTTGTTAATGAAGCGGCTGAAACATTTCAAGAATTATTAGCAGGTCAAGATCAGGGTAAAGTTGTAAATATAATGCAACAATACTCGGAATTGCTTTTGACTATGATGCAGCAAAGAATGAGTGGTACACAACCTAATCATGTTTAGGGCATATGTAAGCTAATAAAAAAATATGTTTAGAAACTTAAGTAGAAATTACCTCGAGAGTAGATTTTAACTGCCGCAAGAATTAATAAACATAATTATCCAAATGATTTGTGGTTTAAACTATTGCTCTCTTGCCACAAATGGAATTGAATATAATTCCCTGAGCTTGATAATTAATGTAATATCGTGTCATTATCATTAACACAAATGCTTTCCATCTTTTATTATTCGTCAATAAGAAATTATTTTTGAGCCATATTGGAAGTAATGCAATTATAACGTTGTAAGAATAACTACTTAAATAAGACATCAAAATAACTTTATGGAAAAAATTCTAACATCATTCATTTTTACATGAAATTCATTGATATTTTATGAGCTTTTAAACTATAATTTAAATTTATTTATTTGAAAAATAATAACTTGAATTTTCTACTCAGTATCTATGTTCTGCAAATTTTAATGACAATAAAAATAAATAAGATGAAGTCATTTGCCGCTATAGTTTATACATTTATATTATATGTACATTAACATTGAAAAAGAAAAAAAAAATATTTGTGTTAAATAATCAGTAAGGATCTATAATAAAACTAGTAATGGGCCCTACGCCAAGAAATGCCAATAACTAAAGACTCGTAGTATTAATACATTTTTGTATAACACGTGTTATAAACTATAACGGTAATAATATTTTCGTCTGTTATACAACCAAAGGCTATGTCATTTATCTTAATTGATACTTATGTTTTTATCAGTCATGGTAGAATTGTAACATTCGTTAATTTAATTGAATTTATTTATTTGGAAATAAGATATTGAAAAATACTTATGGACATCGATTTTTTAGCCATTTATTGCAAATAATTATGTAAATACTACCAATCAAGAAAATTGATAAATTAGTTTTTTTTATATGTATTAGTCTCTTTATTTTATTATATATAATAATATATATTTAGATAATTAAATGATAATGAAAAATATAATAATAATATTAATAATAATAATAATAATAATAATAATAATAATAATAATAAAGTTTTTTCCGCAAAAAAAAATTATATATTTTTATTGCATGGCAATATATGCATAAATACGTTTGAAATAAATATATCTTCATAAACAAAATAAAATACATATTATAAAACAATTTGCCATCAATTTGATAGTTTCAAATTAAATATGCCAATTACCAAACAAAAATGATGTAGTAAAAAAAAAACTAACTGAAAGCATGAAAGACACACATTAATTCAATAAAATATTTGCTCTTAATAAAAAATTAAAATTCGTTTTTGATATCTTGTACTCTATATAGTGCCATTACATTCAAACTTATAAAATAGATCATTTTTTAATTTATGGAAAAACTATCCATTAATCATTTCTGTAACACCAACTATTGAAAGTATATTTCAATAGGAAAACAAAAAAAATAAATTAATTAATACAAAGTGTAAAAATATAATTGAATCTCATAAATTTATGAATTGTTTTTTTATTAGAAATAACTTATTTACTACACTTAACCAAAAGGATTACATACTTTTAAATCCGATTTATGTCTTTCAGGAAAAAATAAGCATACTTTACTTTATTTTTTTCGTTTTACTTAATCGTTTAGTCCAGAAAGAAATAGTACTTTAAGTACTTTAACTAATAAAATCCGTGATTTTCTATTAAATAAAATATAAAAAATAAACGATTATATTATTTTCTTCGTACAGTCGATGTTAAAGTAATTATATTAACTATTTCATTACTTATAGTGAATGAAACAATGCCAAGTAAAAATCAATGATATACATTCAAAATGAATAAAGAATTTATGTATATTATTTAATTTTATTTTAATCAATACTTAAGATCGAATGTTATTAATAATTTTAATATTTTAACGAAAGGTAATATATAATCACTTGTTATTCATGAATAGTGACAGGTTTAATCCCTAACTTTCCGAGATCAGTTGTTTATTCAATATTGTGATAAACATAACTTGAATAATCAGGTTGCATGTTCAGATGGTTACTCAGGACTGCTTATCAGAGCAAAGTCGACTAATTTCAATATAGATCCAATTCTCAGTTGAAAAAATAAAAAGAATTTGTATTTTTCAGCTCTAAAATACTATCTTAAAATGTTGACATGGTAAATAAAAAATTTATTACGGCCAATAATATAAATTCATAATATTGAAACTTTTCAGATGCTTTAATTAGGGCAAGCGAAAACCAACAAATATACGAAAATTGAATGTGTGATTTCCTTTTTTAAAACTCTAAAAAAATAAAAAAGATTTTCACAGAGTTTGAACAAAATATCAAATGATGCAGTAATGAGAAAATTTTTCAATATTTTAAAAAGCGTTTTTCAAATAGTATCGTTAAATTTTAAAAAGCTCAATTGTTTTAAAGAAATTAAAAGAGAATTCTCGTGTTTATCTATTAATTTTAATTTTTGGACGTTAACACCATGAATAGTTTTAAAGAAAGTTCTGAATATGTATTTTTGAAGACACCATCACAATTACTTCAAAAACCTCTGATTTTAGATATGATATCTTATAGAATAAAGATTTTATCTAACAATTCGATATGTCTCTTTAAGAATATTTAATTTCATGAGAGAACAAACAAAAAAGTTATGCACTTAGTATTTAGTTATTTTTTTCAGGTTGATAAGTTTGAATAATTGTACGTATTTATTTATATACATTTATTTGTTATCAATATTATCACGTATCACCGTAAACAGTATGAATCGGAAAATAAAACTGGCTAAATCTTTTTCGATTTGATTTATTCTCAGAAAAAGAGAATCGTTTCAAATTTTAACATTATTAATGAACTTATTACATACGTAATTACAGTTATCAAAGTAATTAAAAGAAAATAATACTTATATTTCATCACGAGACTCATCAAGGCTTCGTTTTGTCGTTGGAATAACACAAAAAAAATTTTTTTTTTTTTTTCTAGAATAGGATTCCTCATTAAGAATAAATAAATAGTTCCAAATGATTTATTATGTAATAATAAATACTTTTTATTGTTAAAAGTTATTTCTAAAAAGCCCAAAATTATTCTTAAATTTAATTATTATGGTCAGACATACAATTAAATATATAACAGAGATTATATTCATTTCTTCATAAAGTTTAACACTGCATAACTTTTTAATCGTTGAAATAAATAAACAAAAAAGAAGTTTTTAACTTCCCGCTAAGAAAATTGAAAATTTTCAAAAATTGGGAAGTTATTGGTTTTACCCCGTTTTTCGAAAATCGAGTTTTCATCAGATCTCGACGTTTTGAGGTCCTAGGAAACTTCCCTGACTATTTCCGCGGTGATGTCACCGTGTCTGTACGTGTGTGTGTGTGTGTGTGTGTAAACCTCTTGTAACTTTTGAACAGCTTGACCGATTTCAACGCGGTTGGTGTCATTCAAAAGGGCTTCGCCAAACTTAGATTTCCTG